TGATATAATTATGTAACATCTCAATGAACTTTAAAAAATCATTTTAGTAATAAAATTCAGCTGTATCCAAGTATGTGTTTATATATGTTTAATCAAGTCAAAGTTGTACCTTTGTATTCTGACATAACACATTGTACTTATGAGGCTCCACTACTTGATGACAGCATGTCTTATTTTGGTGGCTTGCAAAATATTGAATTACTAGAAGCTATGCCACTAGTATTTTAAATATCTGCAGGGCCACCCATGGTTTCAATGGAGCTACCTGTTTAATGTAAAGTAGGAAAAAGGACAGACTATTTCTGAGAGATCAGTTATTGAAAACCTCATGATTAACAACATTGTCAGATATTGTGCCAGAACAAAAGTCTCTCAAGTTGGAAGGGATTCGAAATATAAGTAAGAAAGAGCTGCCTCCTCAAAATAGAGTTGACTTCTATGATGTAGATGGGCCCGAGCTTTTGGGACCTTCATTTACGAATGGGACAAGCTCACAATGAAATGAAGCAGCTGCAAACACTTACTAGTAATGAATGGGAATGAGGATTGTGTGAAGTATAATTTTAGGAAAACTCAGTGTCACAAAAAATGAAATTGGGTACATGAAGAGCACTATCCTAGGCATTAGTGCATTGAAATGGATTGGGATTGGCTATTTTGAATCTGAAAATCATGGCTTATCAAGGTGCAAAATGACAAATTGAAGAGGAATGGTGTCACATTCATGGTTAGAAAGTACATCCCAAGATCTACATTGAAGTCCAATGCTGTCTGTGATAGAAGAGTATCTGTAGGCCTACAAGGAAATTCAGCTAATACAGTTACTCAAATCCACACACAAACCACTGAAGCCAGTAGTGAAGAGATAAGAATTTTACTAACTTCATCCATTTGAAATTAATTAAGCATACAATCAAGATGTATTGATAATTACTGGTGGTTGCAATATGAAATTTAGAAGCAAAGAGGAAGTGTTAGTAGTTGGAAAACACAGTCATGATGATAGAAATGAAACTAGAGATCACAGGATAGAATTTGAAAGACACTAACTTAATTGCAAATACCTTTTAGAACAGCAGACATTATAAATCTGTATGTGGACCTTGTCAGCGGAATATGCTGTCACTAAGTCAACTGCATCTCTGAAAAGAAGTCGTGGAAGCTCCATAATATCATCAGCCAAAACAAAGCTGATTGCAACAAACCAGGCAAGTTTAGATGGAAGCTAGAAAACAAAAACCAAAACTAAAATGAGCCCCCAAGAACCAAAATATGCCCTTGAGTATATCCCACCTCAAATTTGAGACCATCTCAGAAACAGATTTGACCATTGACACGTATAATCGAAGACTAGACAAGCGGTGGGATGACCTTAAGAACTTCATACTTGAAGGAAGCAAAAAGCTAATTAGATAGGAAAGAAAGATGTTGTGAGAGAGTCTGAAACTTGGCTGTTGATATACAAAAGCTAAAGTGAAGGAAAGTAATGATGAAGTAAAATAGCTGAACAAAAACATTTTAAGGGCAGCTTGAAAAGATAAAAGTCAAATATTGTAATGAAATAGGCAACGACCTGGAGTTAAAAAACCAACATGGAAGAACAAACTTGGCATTTGTTAAGCAGAAAGATCTGAAGGGAAAAAAATAGTCTAGTCCTGAGTTGTACTACTATGGACAAAATATTAAACTGGAAGAAGCATCCAAAGAAGATGCAAGGAATGCACATACCCTGTTTCCCCCCAAATAGGACAGTGTCTTATATTAATTTTTGCTCCCAAAGATGCGCTAGGTCTTATTTTCAGGGGATGCCTTAATTTTCCATGAAGAAGAATACAGTACACATGTATTGTTGAACAACAAAAAAGGGAAATGTATTACCTGTATATAGTACAGTAGTAGTTGTCATCACAAACCAGCGTAACCAGACAAACTGAATCCTACAGTATCAAGAATTTCTTGTTACTACCATTATTTCCATGTACATCAACCTATGGTATATCTACTCATAATCTATGGGACATTTACTTGCACTTCCTGTCTGCTCCGGCTGTGCTGCAGCCAACAGTGAGCTGCGCAGCAGCGCCTGTTGCTGTGGTCCAGAGTCCAGAGTTAAGGTAACTTTGGGGGGCCCTTATGTTTAGGTAGGTCTTATTTTGGGGGGATGCCTTATATTTCAGCGAGAGGCAAAACTGTAGGTAGGCCTTATTTTTGGGGAAACACAGTAGTCACTGTACCAAAAAGAATTGGTCCATGTTCAGTCATTTCAAGAGTTAGCATATGAATAGGAACCTATGGTATTGAAAGAAGTCTATGGTGTTGAAGACATTAGTCAAATCAGGGCTATAGGAATTGACAATACCATCTGAAATGTCCTAGCAAACTGATGCCATGCTGGAAGCACTCACTTGTCTAGACCAAGAAATTTGGAAGACAGCTTCCTAACCAACTGACTGGAAGGGATCCATATTTGTGGCCACTCTAAAAAAGAGACCGCACAGAATGCATAAATTATTGAGCCATATCATTATTATCACATTCAAGTAAAATTATGCTGGGGGGTGGGAAGGCAGTTGCAGCAATACATAGACTGAGAACTGCCAGAAATAAGACAGATTCAGAAGAAGATAGGGGATCAGGGATCATTGCTGACTAGATGGCTTTTGACTGAAAGCTGAGACTACAAGAGAGATGTTACTTGTGTTTTATTGACTATGCAAAGGCATTTGTTTGGTTCCTAACAAACTAGGAATAACATTGAAGAGTAAGTCTTCCAGAACACTTAATTGTGCTCACAGGGATCCTCTTCCTACACTAATAGGCAGTTGTACAAACAGAACGAGAAATAATGTGTGCTTTAAATCAGGATGGTGTATGTCAGGGTTGTATCTTTCCACCATGCTTACTCAATCTATATGCTGAGCAAATGATCTTGAGTAGCTGGTCTATATGCAAGATAATTCAGTATCAGGAAGACTCATTAACAACCTGTGGTATTCAAATGACAGATAACCTTGCTTGCAGTAAGTTAAGGGAACTTGAAGCACTTAATAAGGTCAAAGACTCTGGCCTTGTATGGATTACACCTCAATAGCAACAACAAGACGAAGCAGCAGCAGCAGCATCAGAAATGGAGAACATTTTTGAAATTGTCGAAGATTTCATTTTTCTTTGATGTACCATGGATGAAGAAGTAAAGCAAAGACATACTGTATTTGGCAAATCCACTGCAGAAGAACTCTTTAAAGTGTTACAGAGCACAGCTGTCACTTTGAGGAGGACTAAAGTTTGCCTTGCCCTGGACATGGTATTTTCATTCGGTTCATATGCATGTGAAAGTTGGATAATGAGGATGGCGAACTGATGCATTTGGACTATGATGTTGACAAAAAATATTGGAAATACCAGGGACTGCCAGAAAAACAAACATCTGTCCTGGAAGACAGAATGCTATTTAGAAATGAGGATGGTAAAACTTTGTCTCATGTACTTTGGACATGTTAGGGGCCAGTCCCTGGAAAAATCATAGAATGCTTGGTGAAGTTGAGGGTTGACAAAAAAGAGGAAGACCATCAAGGAGCTGGATGGACACAAAAACTGCAACAATGGAGAAGGTAAAACGCAACAGTGGAGAGGACAGCATTGGACCTGCTGACAGTTGACTTCTTTTTCTCTTTCAAATCATTTTATTAGGAGCTGATCCAGAAACTATACCTTTCCCTAGTTCAATCATATCAAGCAATTTTGTACAATCACTACCACAATCCATTTCAAAACATTTTCCTTCTTGTACTCCTTGATATCAACTCCCCCTTTTAACAACCCCCCCCAAACCTCCCCTGCAGTATCCCTCCAGGAACCCTATGCTAGTTATTGTCTTGCTAGTCACCCATCCTGGGTTTCATATACTGAAAACCATAGAACAATACCTAGCAGAGTCAAGAAGGCTACCAACCATGGCAAACTGCAACAGATAAACTTCAATATGAAAACAACAAAAATCCCCAAATATTCTAAATTAGATCAAGTACAAAGTCTTCAAAAGGAACATCAAATGTCAAGGTTTCAGCCATTCATGTCAGTTTTATCCTTTTAATCTATAGTCATCGCTACTATACTCTAATAACCAGGTTATTGGTATCCTTCAGTTATGGCTATGCAGATATTACTGAAGGTTTATTCCCTGGGTAGATTTTGCAAATGTGTTGTGGGCTTCCTCTGTCATCCATAGCCTCTGCACAGCAGAGTCCCACATTGAACCTCATGCTATTCTCTCCTTCGGATGTGGATGATGTAATTTACAATCCTTGGATCACAGATATTGGCGTGGTTCTTCCCTGTGAGCAGGCTTTTTTTGTTCGTTTGTTTTACAAAGTCAATGTAACCTAACAACGATAACCTTTGAGGGTCAGAATATCAGAACTTGCTGGCCCGATTACTAATTTAAGTTTTACCATGTAAGTTTTCTTGACCTAGATCTGCTTGAGATGCTAGTTGTTTTCATGATGCTTTGGAGATTGAGGAAACATTCTACTTATCTTTAAAACATCTGGATTTTAAAGTTCATTAATGTACAGATAGCCTAGTGGTAGTGGTGGGTAAAAGGGAGACGATGTCAAGGAGTCCGTGTAGAAAAAGAGTGTTTGGAAACAGATTGTTGTAGCATTTATATGAGCACAATATTACTTGATGTGATTGAACTATGGAATGATACAATATATGTATTAAATCCAAATTAATAATGAAAATTATATAAAAAATTGATTTCATTCACATAACTAAGAGACTACCAGAGAGTTTCAACAATATCCGTTTGGTTATCCTTGAATCATGAATCTTCCTTATTTAGCACAGCCTTTTGACTACTAATAAAACTTTAAAGTCTTAGGCCCATTTTAATTCATAATTGTGCCTATTAAAAATAAAACAGTATTTTTGACAACTCGTACTTAAATGTGTCTAGCAAACAAAGAAGACAAAATTTGAAATTTTACAATTTGAAGCATAGAAACTAGATTCTTTTCTGTTTTAGAAAATGGAAGTGCCCAAGTTGGAGATTTGTTACCCTGCAAGATTTGTGGAAGAACATTCTTTCTAGCAGCACTAGTGAGTAAACAAATTCTGTACCTTTTTGCTGTTGGATTTGAATTGATCAATAAATGCTTAATATTTCAGGACCACATGTATGGGAAGCCCTATCTGGAATATGAAGAGCTCCTGGGTTTTATTCATCTTCGCTCTAGAATATTAGTTCCCTGCACTGTCTTTATTCCAGATTTTTTTCTTCTCTTTAGAGTTTGATTGATCTTTAAAATTCCTCTATTCAAATATTTAAAGTACTTCAGGAAAAATCGAAGATAGGTTAAGTAGACCAAGATTTCTGAAATACTGATCAATGTTGAAGCAGGGCAATGAGTAAATGGAATTTCCTTTTCTGTTCATTTTAACATTTGAAAGTGAAGCTAGAACATATTATGCATTGTTTAGCTGGATACTTAAATAAGTGCAATAGAAGCACTTTTACTTCAGCTTTATTTTTAAAAGAAAGCTAAACATCAGCTTATTAACAATTTGATTTTGTATAACGACTATTGTTTTGACTATGAATCTGATGATTAGGTATCTGCCACAATCCATTTTGTATCTTGTTACTACTTCCCCTTTGTTTCTTTAAAGCAAAGAAAGGAACTGTTATAATCCCTGAGCATTCTTATCATTTCAGATTCTGTTCAAATCATGACAGCTTTAAAAATTTATTTTATTTTTTATAAATCATTTTATTGGGGCCTCTTCGAATTCTTGTAACAATCCATACATCAATTGTATCAAGCACATTTGTACATATGTCGATATTATATTTTCAAAACATTTTCTTTTTTT